GGTGGAGCCCCGCCGCGGCTCCAGGTAACACCGGGCCGCAGCCCTGCGCCGAGCGGCCCAGGCGCGGGGCCCGCCAGGACGCAGCGGTAGGGGATGGCCGCGGGCCGGCATAGTACCGCAGGGGCTTCCTGCGGGGCCTCGGTGTGCGCCCGTTCGGCCCCAGCTCGCTGTCCAGGCTCGGGAGCCCGGGCCGCGCTGCTCTCCCGCCTGTCCTCTAGGTCCTAAGGCCACAGTTCGGGGATGCCTGGGGAACTACATGTCCCAGCGAGCCCTGCGCCCGCGCATGCCCCGATCACAGCCTCCAGAGGTCCGGCTGCAGTTGGGACCCGGACGACCCGGACCGAGAGCCGCAGAGGCGATGCAGTCCTTTGAACTCCTTATGTCGTTTTCAGACATTTTCCCGACGCCTCCTGTGCCGACTACTGGGGAGCCAGAACGGCCCGGGCTCTGCCCTGGAGCGGCGAAGGTCCGGGTAACAGAGCACTGCACTCTGGCGCAGTCCTTACTGCATTCAGGAAGCGCGAACGCTTAAGGGTCCCGGGAAGGGCTAAGTCTTGCCCAGGGTCACATAGCCTCCGCTGTCTGAGGGCCACTAGGCCGGAGGCGAGGTGCTGCCGGGGGCCAGGGAGGAGAGGAGAGGGGACACTTAAGATGGAGGGAAAACGGACAATTCAGTTGAAGTCTGCTCCCTGCCTCTGCCCAGCACTGCACTCCCCCAGCCCCTGATTTTTATGTCTGGACAATGGGATGGTTGCTCCTGGTCCTTTTGCCGACCCTCAAGGCTCTGGTGGTGGAAGTTTCAGGAGTGGGGGTGAGTCGGGAGCGCCCCCTCCCCCCGCCACCACACGAAGCTCACACATCCAGATGCAAGTCCGCCCCCAGAAAGCCGGGCACCTAACTCCGAGATGCACGCTTGACAGTCAGTCTTGACCCACTGAAGTATATACTTTCATCCCCATTTACACCTGGACACACAGCTTCGCAGATTTGTGACCCGTCAAGGTCATACAGCTCCTAAGGGGCAGAACAGGCTCTGCATGTAACCATGAGTGCAGTCTCATCCCTTAGTGATACTTGGGAGATGGACAGTGCTGGGTGTGTCTCAGGTGTTTAGTAAACGCCATCTGTCATTAGCCTTGTTCCTGTCCCGATTTTACAGAGGAGAGACAGAGTGAAGAGAAGCCGAATAAATTACCTAAATTACAGCTAGAGCCAGGGTGTTGCACACTTGAATCCCAGATCACAACACCTACATCCTGCCCCCCGGCCCATCTGCATAGTCAGTTCTCAGGAGAACCAAAGCCTGGAGTTCAAATACGTTCAGTCCTGCCCTGAACAGCGCTTACTAACCCCTCCCAGGTGTGAGAGGTTCTGGGCTCCAGTGTGATGCTCTCGTATCTGGGAAGTTGGAGTCTTGAGCTGGCCCTGCCAGCTGAGAAGTGTGTCCCGAGGTGGTACCTCAATGTGTTATTTCCTGCTGACTCCATCCTAGGAAGGTTACTCTGCCCTGCCACAGTAGGGCAGGGGGAGGGTTTAAGAGGCCTTGGAAGGGAGGAGTGGAGTACTTTCTGACCCTGAGGGAAGCAGCCTGCTGTCCCGGTGTCTGGGTAGGTAGGAACCCTGATTGAGCGGGGCCCCAGCAGGAAATGATGACCACACCCTCCTCTTCCTGTCTTAGCCTGCCTAAGCCTGTCCCATCTGCAGAGGCCTGGAGGGGGAAGCTGGAATGGAACATCAAATGCCTTGCTTGGAAAGAACAGGATTTGAGTCTCTCCCTGGCCTTTATCTCCTTGGTGTGATCTAGAGCGACCCTGAATCTCCGTGGGCCTTTTGTGACACTGCGTCATTCATACCACCTCTCACCTCAGTTTCCTCATCTGGAGAACAAGGCAGACACTGGCATCTAGCCATTGTGAGGTGATGGTCAGGATGGGACTCACCAGACCTGGCAGGATACCCTAGGTAGGACCTGCATCTCTCCACAGAAGCTACAGCAGATGCAAGGCAGAGGCAGGCCACCCCCACCTGTGGTTTCCTGACCCCACTGGGCCACATTTCTGGGTTCTCTGCTAAGAAAAGTGACTTCCCCCCTCTGAACTACTTTCCTCTGTGTAAGATGAGTGTAAACGGTGCCTGACTTCACAGGGGCAGGGTGTGATGAGAAAGAAGCGCACAGTAGGTGTGCAGGCCAAAGCGGAGGACTTTGAAGATACGTCCTGGTTCCTCCTGGCTTTTTGTTTTTTTTTTTTTTTCTTTTTGAGACAGGATCTTCCTGTGTGGCTCAGGCCTGCCTCAAATTCAAGCAATCCTCAGGCTCCAAGTGCTGGGATAATAGACATGTACCATCACATCCAGCTCTGGCTTCTACTAAAAAGTCAGGAAATGCAATAAAATTGTGCCCCCTTCCTGCTGGCTGCAGGCTGTTTTGGCATGTGTCTGTTAAGGTTTCTCAGGGTGAGGGCAGATGTGCTAGTGGCCTCTGGCCTTGGGATTTCCCCTGAGGAACTCTGGGGGTTTGCTAGGACTGTCTGGAGCCCGGCCCAGGTTTGGGGAAGTAATAGGAGGTCATGTAGAAGAGCAGACAGGGCAGGGATTTCCTGGCCAAGTAGGATTAGGGGCAGACCTGCAGCCCCTTCAACTGAGCACCTGTCGAGGAGTACAAGCTAGGCCCTGGACACGGTGTGTGAGACCACTGGGAGCATTGTGTACAGCCACGCATAGACAGCCTTTGTTGCCTTGATGCAATGTGATTATAGTTCTAATGGGTCAAGGAAGTCAGAGCAAGCCAACACCTTAGAGCAAGCTCAGAAGGGGCTGTCTTTGAGCTGTCTCGCAAAGCTTGAGCAGGACTTTGTCAGAGGTGAGTAGGGGTTGAGGACCGATTAAGCAGAGAAAATACATAGCCAGAGGCTTGGTGGCTATAGGGTCCCTTTTTGCAGGAGGGGATGGTTAGGACAGGGTCTCGCTATATAGCCCAGAGTGGCCTTAAACTTGCTTATGTAGCCTACTCTGGCCTTGAGCTCACACCGATTCTCCTGCCTCAGCCTCCCGAGTGCTGAGACTACAGTTGTAGGGTCACTTTTTGATCAATCGATAACAATAACCCACAACCTGCAGACCAACTTAGGGTCACTTTTTGAGAGTGAGTTGTAGATAAGGTATTTTCTGTGACCTTGGGTGAATCATTTCACTTTGATGAACCTGAAATCCTCTGTAAAATAATCTTGGCTTATTCCTGTGATGCCCAACTTCTAGCAAAGCAGGATGTCAGTGCACTTAATCTTTTCAACCAGGAGGAAGAATATTAAGACATGCAGTGATTGTGACAGGGCTATATGCAAATTATACGGTGTGATGTTGGGGTGAATCTAATCCTGCATGCTGAGATGGGGGAGTTTAGTATAAGCAGGAGACATCACACCTTCCTGAAAGAGATGAGCTGGGAGCAAAGCCTCAAAAGGCACAAGAGAGGAGTGGACTGGTAAGAAAGAAAAGAGAACCCAGGCAGGTGGTCCAGCCTGAACAGGGATAGAAAAGTGGCAGAGAAGGTGGGAGGGAGCCCTCCATGGTGTGGGAGCAGGGCTGTGGAGAAGTCAGCTGGAAAAGTTTGGACTAGAGAGCTTGTTAAGGTGGGCGTGGTAGTACATCCCTGTAATCCCAGCACTGGGGAGGCTGAGGCAGGAGGATGGTTGCAAGTTTGAGACCAGCCTGGGCTACAAAGTGAGCTTAAGGCCAGCCTGAACTGTATAGAGAAACCTTGTTTCAAAAAGACCAAAAAGAAAAAAAAAAAGCTTTAAAAAAAAAAAAAAAGAGATTGTTAAGTGCACCCTGAAGGCGTTTTACATGCAGTTGGCAATATGGAGCCACTGCAGACTTTCCCCTGTAGAAGTAGGGGTATTCCTCTCTGAATTGAATATACTCTGAATGTGGGAATGTTTTGTAACTGCTTTTATGTGGTGGGAAAAATAAAGGGTGAAGGTAGACATAGGAGGTAAAGGAGTTGATAATAAGGAACCAGTTAAAGACATCATCACTCTGTGGGCTGGGGATGCAGTTTGGTGGTAGAGTGGTTGCTTAGCATACTTGTGGCCCTGAGTTCGATCCTCAGTACTGAGACAGAGAATGTGAATCATTGTGTTTATGGTACTTAATTCTCATGCACACATAATTTTAACGGTTGATGGATACTAAGTTTGGCATTCCAGGTAACATCTGTAACAGTGTATCATGAGCTTGACCTTGTGTGGTTTAAAGCTTGCAAACAGCTTACTGTGTTGCTGGCTGCACATCCACAGTAATACTGATTGTTGTTGGTCTAAATACTTTGCAGTATCACTTCCTTTTGGATCCTTTCCATTGAATACCTTTCCTGAAGGCAGAGTTCTGACTCCAAGGGAACCGAAGTTTGTGTGGCTTAAAAGACTTAAAACACTAAACCCAGCACTCCCCAGGCTGGGGAAGGAAGATCTTATAAGTTTGAGATCAGCCTGGGCTACAAAGTGAGCTCAAGGCCAGCCTGAACTGAGTAGTGAGACTATCTCAAAAAGACCAAAAAAAAAAAAAAAAGGAAGAAAACAACTCTTATAGTAGTTTTTGCTAATCTTTCCAGTAGGTTGCACTGTATAGAACTTTTGTGTTGTTTTGTTTTGTTTTTTTGTCTTTTTGAAGCAGGATCTTGATATGCAGTTCAGGCTGGCCTTGAGCTCATGTTGTAGCCCAGGCTGGTCTCAAACTCATAACGATCCTGCCTCAGCCTCCGAAAAAGAGCAAATACAGTATATCATATCAAATAAATAGTCTGTTTTGATCAAGTTTTCCCTGAGGACAGTTGTTAATCAATTTCTTGTATATCCTTTTAGAAATATTTTATGTAGATGTGGTATATATCCATCAATTAAAAAATCGATACTACTGTTATATCTTGCTCGGTATCCTGGTTTTAATTTTTTAAAATTTGGGATTATGAAATATATCTGAGAAGCATTGATAATGAACCCCCACCCCAAAATGCTGATTTAATAAAAACCAATTTGCACTGCCACCCTGTTTGTTTAGGGCTATCTTGGAGGTAGCCCCATGGCATTACGGCTACAGGGCCCTTTATGGTGGCTTTAAGATAGAGTATTACTGGTTTTCTGCTTAAATAATTGATTTGGCTGTGATACCCACTTTTATAAGGTCTACCTGGGGAGTCTTTTAGGTAAAGAACGAAGCTGAATCTTGACTTGAATTCAGATTTCTCCTCTGCCACACTTTCCAGCTATGTGATGACCTGGGATGAGTGAAGGCTTTCCATTTTTGTGGTGCTGAGGTTTCAACCAAAGGCCTGGTGCATACTAGGCATGCACTTCCCACTGAGTCACATCCCCCGCTGGAGTCAATGCTCTCTCGATCCTCATTTCCCCTATCTGTAATATGGGCTGGACACACACACACACACGCACGCACACACGCACGCACGCACAGGATTAAACCCCAGGACTTCACACAGGCTAGGCAGGCCTCTATCACTGAATTACATCCCAGCCTGGCTGGCTGCCGTAATCCTTCTCACAGTAGTCTTCCAGCTACTGGGAGGTGTGAAAAACTAAAGTACAGAAACTTCGGGTTTAGTTCGCAACTCCCTTGGATAGGGAGCTCCCCGCGGGAACACAAACCCTCGTGGGCCTCTACAGTTTAGCTTTTATTTATTTATTTATTTATTTATTTTTTAGAGACAGGGTCTTGCTCTGTAGTCTAGGCTGGCCTGGAATTCAGGGCGATCCTCCTGCCTCAGCCTCTTGAGTGCTGGTATTATAGGAGTGTGCCACCACGCCCAGTTTTGCAGTTTAGCTTTAAACTACACTCTGCTCTTCGCCCCTTTCCCCTTACCACGCTGGGGGCCGGGCGGTTAACTATCTCTGTGACGTCCGCGCTGCGCTCGCAGGGCCAATCCTCCTGCCCAATATACGTTAGCTTGTTTGCATGAGTCTCTGGTTATTGGTGTTTTGAGCAATCCTGGCCGTCCAAGCGTTTTAAAGGCGCCGCGTAGTATAAACAAGGAGATGTGGGGAGGCTGAGCCATGATGTCATCGCAGTGCCGCAGCTCGGAGGGTGACGTCATCGCCGGGAAGCTTTCCTGCCCAGAGCTCTTTGGGCCAGCCTGACTCCCCAGGCCGGCTTAAGAGGTTGTCCCCCAACGCCCTGTCCGAGGTCAGACCCAGTGCACTTCAGTGGCCCAGGAGGTACCCTGCCTCCAAGGAGGGGACCATGACACAGTAAGTCTGGGCTGCGGCTCTCCGGGAGGGACCCATTTCTCCCGCAGGGACGAAGGCGCGAATAGTTAGCAAGTTTGTATAGCAGGTTTGAGTTGCAGTCCATCAGTCTGTCTACCCCGGAGTATTTTCTTCATTTTTATGGCAGGTGCTATGACCCCGCCTCTTGCCTTTGACTGTCTGCTGTTACTTTAAGTGCGGAGGTGTGGGCGGATAGGAAGCTTATTTTAAAAAAAATCTGTCTTTCAAGATGGCGGTGCGCTAGTCACGTGCCCGCCTGCGGCGAGTGATTGGCTCTCGGTGAGGCCGCGGGGCGGAGCCTTCTTGTGGGGCGGGGCCGCCGCGGGCTTTCCGCTGGCTACTGTTTGCCCGAGCTCCCGGCGCGCCCCCGCGAGCCCCCCTCCCGCCCGGCGCTCGACCCCGGCGCTTCCAATGTTGTGAATCAAATGTGGGTTTGTTACATTCCGCCGCCGCCGCGGACAGTTCTTAAAGGGCCAGCCTCCGGCAGCCGCGCCGACCAGCTGCGTCCTGCGCCGCCTCGCGCTACCCTAAGGCTTGGGCCGAAGGAGACGGACCGCGCGTGGGCCTCGAGAGGCGGACGCCGTCGGGCGGACAACAAAGGGAGAGGGCCCCGGAAGGAGCCGGACTGCCCCTGAACCGGGGGGTAGGGAGGGGAAAGGGTCCAGGCACCCCCCCCCCGCCCCCTGCCCAGCTTTGCCGTCCTAGATCGCGAACAAAGGAGTCAACGTGTGGCCGGGCGGCCGAAGGTGAGTCGGGGCCAGGGCCTTAAACTCCCGATTCCCGCACCCCTGAAACTCCTGTCCCCTCCCCGGGGATGGGGCCCGTGATCCACCTGGGTCCGCAGGGGTTAAACAAGTGCGGTCTGGCTTGGGGGCGGTGAGACCCCTGGGATCCAGGGCCCCACCTCGGGCACCCCTCAAAGCCAGGCCGCGTCTCCCCTCCAGAGGCTGAGCGCTGCGGTTGAGAGGAAGGAGCCGCCCCCTCCCCCTGTGGCCGCCACTTCCTTTGTTGTTGCTTTTGTCTCACGCCGAGCACATGGTCCAGGATCCTCAGCTCTTAAAGTCACAGCGCTCCGGTCCCGGCGCTGCAGTCTGGCCTCCCGCCCCCAGTGCCCCTCCGAGTTGGCGCAAAGGAGTAGGGAGGATCGAAGAGGCCCCTCTGGGGACAGGTGTCCGACTCTCAGCTCCCTGGTCCCATTCCCAGGAAAGGGTAGCAGTGGAAGTTTCCTGGAGCCCCACAACCTGTTTCTGGCCTGCTTTGGGGAGGAGCCTGCCTATCAGGGACACTGGTTTCCAACCCTCCTAATGTGACCACTTGGTTTCTTGCTTCTCGTCTCTTCTGGCCTTGGGGGTCTCTCTAGGAAGGAGCGATTTCCATTCCCATTTTACAGTTGTGGTGACTGAGGCTTTCAGAAGTGAAGGAATTTCCTTGACCAAGGTCACAGGGAGACAGCTAGCCGAGGTCTCCTCGCTCTGCAGTGTGGTGGTCCCGCCCTTTACCGCCTCCAGGCACCACGCCAGGGAGCTTCTGGGGAGGAGAGTTCTTTACCTGCCTGAATGTACTCTTGCTCCTAAGGTCTGACTTTGGTCTTCTGCTAAAGGAAGTGCTTCTTTCTGCAAACAACACAGGCCCAAATCACAAGGCAGGGGCTCCCTGGGTTAGGGTCAGAGTGGCTGCTTGGGTCCCTGGACTTGGAGTTGGCTTGTGGGGGTGTGGGTGTATGTAGGGGTTTGCTGCAAAGTGAAGTGCCTGCCTCCAGGCAAGATTGAACTTGGAGATAGGAGTTGGAAGACGCATTCACAACAAACCTCACGGGTGCCACAGCCAGGGAGGTGTGGAAAGGCCGGCTGAGCAGCTTGGTGTTTGACCTTGAGCAAGTGGGTAGCTCAAGTTCAGCTCATTACTCTCCATAGCAGAGCTCACAGGTGCATGGGAGAGAATGCTCTTCCGCCCTCCTTTATGGCTTGGAATAGAGTTGGAATTACATGGTTTTTCCACATGCTGCCAGTGAAAGAGTTGGGGGAGTTGGGGGAGTCAGGGCCTAGGGAGGGTACCCAAGACCAATTCTATCCCTCTCTGGCTTTGTGGTATATGGCAAGTTTCTTCCTGTCTCTGGGCCTCAGTTTTGTTGACTGTGAAAGTGGGTATGTTTCTTTTTGCCACTTCTGTTCCTGATAGGACTTTAGAGAACCAAGAGCCCTCTCTTTCCAAGTGGGATATGGGGGGTCTGGGGATAGAGATCAGCATGTCTTATTTTCTAGTTATGATCATTCACACCCCAGTGAAGTTTAAACTTTACTGATTGCTTCTGCTGTTACCTTTGGAGCATCCCTTGACAGTGTCCTGGAAGGTAGTTACTGGATTGTTACTATTGTTACTATTGTTACTATTTTACAGATAGGGAAGCTGAGCCTCAGAGAGGGGAAGCTGTGTGCCCAAAGTTTTTTTCCAAGACTGGCCAGATGTTGGAAGTGGTAGTATGGGACTGTGAAGATTGATGCATCTCCGTTGGCACCACCCCCAACAACTAGAGGCCTTCTCTCTATTGGTCTGATTTCTCAGTTCCTTTCTGGCTTCTCCTTCCCGGAGAAGGAGTGGGTGCCTTTGTAGGGGCCCAGCCAGAGTCCCACAGGCCTGGCCCTCTGTGCAATCAGTCCCCTTGAGTCTTGGCACTGCCTAGCCTCAGGAGACAACCTGGCAGAAGAGGAGCAGCTGGGGCCACTGGGCGCTGTGTGGCTGATTCGGGAGGCTTGATGGTCACACTGTGTCATGTCCCTGCCGAAAACTGTAGCCATCTCTTCTCTGAGCCTGGAGGTTCTCCTTACCTCTAAGGTTCTTATAAGGCACACTGGAAATAGCACAGCTGTTACTGTTGCTCTTCTTCATTGGCAGAACTGTGGGCCCCCAGGAACTCAGGTGTGCCGGGACAGAAGGTTGCAAACCTGGCTGTCCCCAGAAACTGCTGGGGAATTTGATTATAAAATTAAAAAAAAAAAAGGGCCGGGAATATAGCTCAGTGCCACAGCGTCTGCCTGGCAAGCATGAGGTCGTGAGTTTGATTCCCCGTACCACACCCACCCCCCAAAAATCAAGGTGTCCTTGTTCTACAACCCTCCAAAGATTCTAGCCAAGAAGGTCTAGGGGGGACCCGGGGTATGTTTCAGTTACTTTTTTCCACACTTTTCTTCCTCATAAGAGCCCCAGTTCTTTGTAATCTCCCAGTTTGTAGTCATTGGCACTAATGTGATCACTGCCGAGCCTTGTGGCCTTGGACATGTGTCCCACCAGACCTGCCCCACGCTAGACAAAAGCTGGTCACTGGCCCCTACTCACCCCCTCTGCCGAGTGCTGGAGCCATTGAACAAGTGAACTCTAGCTCATTCATTTCCCAGCTGTGCTAGCCGTACAGGTGCTGACCTGTAAAGTGGGGACAATCCTGTGAAAGGCTGATTTTTGAGAACTAGGGGCCAGGGCTGAGAGCTTAGCACAGAGGAAATAATTTGAGCTGCTGTTCACAGGAAGGAAGGAGGTGTTGAGCTGACAGTTACACTGGCTCCCTGGCTATGTGACAGGGGGGCAACAGTGTTTCAGGCTGGGTATGGAGGGTGCAGAGATTTGTTCCTGGTGGGGGAGGCGCCCTGTAGCAGGAACAGCAAAGAGCTGTCCCTGTTTGTTGCACTCTTCAACTTTGCAGGGAGGGCCTGAGGGTCCCAGAGCTTTCCCTGCCAGGGTCTCAGCCCAGCTTTAGGAGTTGATGAAATCTGATGTTGAGCTGAGCCCCCAGTGTCTGCCCCCTCTCAGCTCTGCTGGGACCCAAGGGAGGAGACCCTGCCCCCACCTGTCTCTGCTCAACTTCCCGTCTTAGGTTCTTGCTTCCCTTTTTTCTCTCGGCAGGCCCCACCTTCCACACTGAGTGCTGTGTTGGGGCCCCCAGAACAAGGACCTGGGGGCGTTCTAGACCCAGCTGGCTAAGAGTGAGCCAGTCCTTTATCATCTCCTACGACGCCTCAGGGCTGCTCCACCTGGCAGCAGCAGGGTACAAGGACAGGCGTACCATTGCCTTATCTCCTGTTTCATACTACGTGTATGGTGTGGGGCAAGTCCCTTCCTCTTGCTGAGCCTCAGTTTTTCTCCCCTGTAAAATGGGCTAGCCATACCTTCATTGAAGAGTAGATGAAAGTCACACTCAGGAAGACACTGGCAGTAGCTGAGGAAAACAAGAAGGCTGCTTTGCCTTAAACTAAAAGCCTGCCAAGGGCCAGGAACCAGGTCAGAACCTCTGAGGATAGTAGGAGGAGAACTGGCTCCTAGGCCTCTTCGGAATTTGTCCTGAAGCAGCCAGATGGAAGGGAGGAAGGACTGATCCTGTAGCTTCCTAGAGGTCAACTTGTAGCCACTGGCATGAGGCAGAAGGTCCGTACCCTAACTGTCATCCCAGGGAATCCTCTTGCTGGAGCCAGCTGGCCCAGAAGCATGCTGACTGGGCGGTTAAACTTGCCACGCGTCTACTCTGAGGGGATGAGATTCCATTTCACAGGGCAGAAAGCTGAGGCCTAAGCTCCCTACAGGCTGAGCGTACCCCTCGTCTGTCAGCACTGCACCGAGGGCCCAGAGAATGGCCTGCTCCGTCATACACAGACCCCAGACCTAGGAAAAATGCTACTGGCTCCCACAGTCTCACTGCACGGGTCAGCTCCTGATGGGGCAAGTGACTGAACTTGTCTGGGCCTCAATTTCTTTTTCTTCTTATCTCCTAGGGTTGTGAGCCCCGGCCCAGCCCTTCTGCCTCCCTGCCCCCCTGATGCGACCATGGGCTCTGGCAGTGACTAGGTGGCCACCCTCTGCCCCTGTGGGTCAACGGCAGCTCTCCGCAGGACCCAGAAGTGCTCCAGGCCAGCTCTGGGAGAGGTAGGAACGAGTCTCCCCGCCCTGGTGCATGGGGGCGGGCCTTGGGCTTGGGCTGTCTTCTCACCCCAGTAGGGGTAGCACCCTGGCTTCCCTCCGTGCTCTGTGAATGAATGGCCCCGTCAGTCCTACCAGGGCCTCCTCTCTGTGGTACAGGCCCGGCCACCAGGGCCCCCTGGCCAGCCTGCCTGCCCAGGATGAGCACTTACCCTCCCAGCAGCCGCTGCCCCGACCTCCACACCTCCCCGTAGAGGAGCACCGAGCCTCGGCTCCTGCCGGCGGGAGCCCCCGAATGCTGCACCCAGCCACCCAGCAGAGCCCGTTCATGGTTGACCTCCACGAGCAGGTAGGCAGAACACCTCCCCGCTCCCTGCTGTCCCCAACCTCTGACAGCGGGCCTGAGAAGCAGAGGCCCCAAAGCTGTGATTCCACTTTGCTTCACTCAAAGGGGGCATTATTGGCCGTGTTTTAAAAGTACATAAACTGAGGCTCAGGGAAGGGGAGGAGCTTCCCTCAGGCCACACAGAGAGTGACTAGCAGAGCTGGACATCATTCCTGGACTCCTATAGGGTTATTCTTCCTGGGTTGCCTTTGCCAGGAGCAATCTGGTCTATATGTAGGCAGGTCCCCAGCTGGAGAAGGGACAGAACAGGGAGTTGAGCCTGCCAGGATGTTTTCTCCTTAGGGTAGTGCAAGTCGCCAGGCTGCCTCCCTACAGCGGCCCGGCTCTCTCTATTCACAGGTGCACCAGGGACCCGTCCCTCTCTCCTACACAGTCACTACAGTGACCACCCAAGGCTTCCCCTTGCCTGCAGGCCAACACATCCCTGGCTGCAGTGCCCAGCAGCTCCCAGCATGCTCCGTGATGTTCAGCGGGCAGCACTACCCCCTGTGCTGCCTCCCACCCCCGGTGAGTGGGTGCTTTCTCCTGCCCTGGGCCCATGGCAAGCCCCAGGAACTTGGCACCCAGAACTGAGTGAACAGTGCTCACCCAGGCTGTCAGAGCACCTGGGCCCTAGGCCACAGCCTTCCCAGAAGCACACGTATGTGTTCTCACGGGGACAGGGCATTTCAGGGTTCAGGTACTTCCCTATATTCTAATGCCTCCCTTATACATTAGCGTATAAGCCCTGGAGTGGGGACAGTGGGCTTTTATAACAGTGTCCTACTTGGGTGGCAGAGGTGGGACCTCCAGAGCTACTGTAGCTACTGGGTTTTTATGTCCAGTAGGACCTTTGGCTGGACGTGTGGCCCCCAGTCCTCATCACAAGTGTAGGTCCAGTCCAGAGCCCAGAATATTCCCCAGCCCCCCTCTCTCAGCAGCTGATCCAGGCGTGCACCATGCAGCAGCTCCCTGTGCCGTACCAGACCTACCCCCACCTCATCTCCAGTGACCACTACATCTTGCACCCTCCACCGCCGGCCCCACCCCCGCAGCCTGCCCACATGGCACCTCTTGGGCAGTTTGTGTCACTGCAGACCCAGCACCCACGTATGGTAAGTCTGAGGCAGGGGTTTGATGCTAAGAGGGGAAAGGTAGGAATTTTTGCCTTGTCACTGACCATGGCTGTCCACCCTTGTGCCCTTCAGCCCCTGCAGCGGCTCGATAATGATGTGGACCTGCGGGGGGATCAGCACCCCTTGGGTGGCTTCAGTTATTCCACTTCTGCCTCTGGCCCAGCTTTGTCTCCCTCTGTGCCCCTGCACTACCTGCCCCATGACCCGCTGCACCAGGAGCTGTCCTTCGGTGTGGTGAGTGCCACCCCCACCTTTCCCCAGGTTCTGGGGTGACTGGGAGGCAGGCTTGCGGCAGACTCTCACCTGCCCCTCTCCCTCTCAGCCGTATTCCCACATGATGCCGCGGAGACTGAGCACCCAGAGATACCGCCTACAACAGCCACTGCCCCCGCCACCGCCACCACCACCTCCACCACCTTATTACCCCAGCTTCCTGCCCTACTTCCTGTAAGTACCAGCACATCTACCCAGTGCAGGGACAGCCTGTTCTCCCTGGGCCTCCAGTGGTCAGGCCCAAAAACAGCCCCAGAGGCCCTTCGACCCCTGGGGTTTCTAAAGCCACTTGATACTTCCACCAAGCCAGAAGCCAGACACGCCCACACTCACACGTACCAGTTGGGTTCCCGACCCCTCTTCCCAGCCTTGGGCCAAACACGAGGGTTCCCAGTGCAAACTGTGCAGTGCTGTGGACTTTGTTTTGGGGGAGGGGTTAGGGGAGCTGCTCCCTCTACTGCCCTTGACCCTGGACCCTTGTACCTCCCTCTCTAGCTCCATGCTGCCAATGTCACCAACTGCGATGGGGCCCACCATCAGCCTGGATCTGGATGTGGATGACGTGGAGATGGAGAACTATGAGGTCCGTGGCATCTCCTGCTGCGAGGTGGGCTCTGGGAGACTGCAGCCTGGGTGCTGTTGACCTTCCTCTCTGTCCATCTCCAGGCCCTCCTGAACCTGGCCGAGCGGCTGGGAGATGCCAAGCCCCGAGGCCTCACCAAAGCAGACATAGAGCAGCTCCCGTCTTACCGCTTTAATGCGGACAGCCATCAGTCAGAGCAGACGCTGTGAGTGCCTTGTCCCCATCTCCTGCCCCTGAACTACGGGGCTACCAGGAGATCCCCTTTGGGGAGCTTCACACTTGGCCTGGGCCCTCCCTCAGCTGTCCGCATAGGGGTGAAACTCTTCTACCCGCCCCAGGTGTGTGGTCTGCTTCAGTGACTTTGAGGCCCGGCAGCTGCTCCGAGTCCTCCCCTGTAACCATGAGTTCCACGCCAAGTGTGTCGACAAGTGGTTGAAGGTAAGGCAGCCCAGGCTGACTCCCCAGTGTTCCTCCCGTGGGAGGGGGCAGGCGGGCCTAGAAGGTTTTCCTCCTCATCCCTGTTGTCATCCGGAAGTTCTGGCTCCATGGGCCGAGTCCCTACCGGGCAGGTGAACAGAAGAACCAGGTGAGATGGGGACCGCTGAGAGTGGAGCCTGACTGTGGCTGCTCTCCTCAGGCCAACCGGACGTGTCCCATTTGCCGGGCTGATGCCTCCGAGGTGCCCAGAGAGGCTGAGTGAGGCCCCACAGCTGCCCACAAGAACCCTGCCCGAAGCTCTGGAAACTGGGGGGACCCAGGGAGGGAATGGCGCAGGCCCAGTTCCCACCTGCATCTCCAGAGCTGGAGCCAGGGTCAGCCCTGCGAGAAGCCCCTGCAATAAGCCCCTGCATTTGCCAAGCTCCAAAGACTCCTTTCCTCATCTGCCTGCCTGTCTGCCACCACAGGGCTGCCTGGGTGTCCCCAACTGCGTCTCCCTCCTGTTTGCCCTTGGGTCCTTTATTTTCCTGCTTGGCACTGGGAGCCAGGGGTCCTGTTCCCCACTGTGGCTGGTAGAGGTCCTTGGCCCCCACAGTGGGCGAAGGGGTCACCATCCTGGGTCACCTGGTCTTCTGCACTGATTTGGTGTGCTCTCCCTCTGCCTCGGTGGCACTTCAGGCTTGTGGACAGATGCTGGCATGAGGCTGTTTCCTAAGCCCCAGGGCCGAGTCTTGCTTGACCCCAGAAGCGTTACGGAGGGCATCCTGGTGGGGCCTCTGGAGCAAATAGAGACCGGCCCAGACTGGGGCAGTGTATGCTCGGGGGGTCCAGGCCTTGCTGGGCAGAGTGAGACCCTGTGTTCTGGTGGCTGCACCTTCACCAGCGACAGGATCAGACCCTTGTCCACTCTTTTCCCCTCTGTCATTTTGCATGAATGTGAGGAGCAGCAGTTTTTGTTCATTCATTTGGCCCAAAATTGCGTGTAGGATTTGGGGGTGTGGATATTTATGACAGTTTTTTTCCTTTGATTTAGTGGGGGGTACAGGGATCAACCAGGACCGAATGCCCAGCGGGCAGAAAAGGGCCAGGTCGCACCACCTGGCCCGCGTGCATGTGTGCGGCTGGGGCTGGGCTGGGCAGCCGCGATCGGAGGGCAGGGTTGGGGGATTCTGTGCTCAGCTGATAACTGCCATGCACTGCACTGCACACGTCCCTAGAGCCTACTGGGACCGTTCGCTTTTCAGGGCATTTCTCCCTCTCCAGCCAGGGTCTGCCTCCCACCTGCCTGGGTGAGTCTCCTCCAAGGAATCCCCGGAGGACAGGGACCAGGGAGGCTGGGGACCTTCAGTCCCGGAGGCCCCTCCCAGCTGATCCTTGCCCTTCAAGGTCTGGAGGCGGGTACCCTTTAGGGTCTGGCTGAGCTCCCCGCCCTCCTTCCCTGGTCCCATTCCTTTCCCACCCCCAGCTGGGGTTGCTGCCCTGAATGAACGAACCGCGTGTGGGGCCGGCACATCCTAGCAGGCAGCCCTTGGCGCCTGCTGCCTCAGGGATGCTCCAACCACCCTCGTTCTCCCCGCAGCGGCCCTGGCCCCTGCCTCCCGCCCCAGCCTGCCGTGGGACCCCTCAGCCTGGTCCCACCCCCATGGAGAACCCAAAGTCTTAACTGTATATAATTCCAGGTGACGTTTCTATATTTATAGCAGTGTTGAAAAACCCACGTGTTTTACAGAGAACCACTCTCTCCAACCCCTCTCCCTTCCCCACCCCAACAAAAGGTTTTCAAAACCCTCACAGTTCCTGGGGCAGGCCGAAACAGGTTCACGGATCGTGTGTCGTCTGCAGCAATGATTCCAGCAAGCAGCTACTGGGGGGGAACACAACATTTTAAAAAAAATCATCATAAAAAAAAAAAGATTTATGAAACAATTATTTAGGATGTTTGTGATTTGCTGACCTTGCTATAGATGCCATGTTACCAATGATTTCCTGTGGTGGGGGCTTGTCATTGTTTACTCTTTTATTTACCAACTTCTGGCCTAGGCATGACAGTGGGCACCTTCCCCCAGCCCCGGCTGGGCCCAGCGCCTGTGTTCTGTGTTAGAAAGTTTTTATATACGTATAATTACATATATATATATACATATATGTAATTGTGGGGGCCCTGTTCCTTGCACATTTTACAGTTACCTCATTTTTCCCATGTATGTATTTGAGAAAATGCTAATATATAGAGAAAAAAATGGTTCTTAAAGCTTAAATGTGTGGTTTTTTCCATTCCATTGGATTCACATTGGTTTGTAGCATTTAACATAACTAGTATGTTGTATTATATATATGTGTATACTGATTGAAATTTTTAACAGATTTGTACTTTTTTTAAAATGAAAGTTGCTAGTTCTGCTTGACCAAGTAGTGCAATCATTATTTTTTTTAATATTGTTGCTGATTTCAGAGGGATATTCACTAATAAATGTATGATGTATACCAAGGACTGCCTGAGCCGCCTTTGGCTGTCAGTTTCTTTGTGGATAGAAGGGGTGGGAGAGTGATGATAGCAAGCTGAGGGCAGGGGTGGGGTAGGGGCAGAAGAGATTGTTCTGTCCCCAGGAACCTTGGGGTAGGGTAGTCAGCACCAGCACCCCCTCAGCAAGAGCAGCCTGCCAAGCCAGTTCAGTGATTACTTTTCCTGGGCCATCTGCCTCACTCGAGAATTAGGCAGGATTCCCTTGGCTAGGAACAGGATTCCATCTAACTGGTTTGAGGGGAAAAAAATCCACTAGTCCTGACTAAATTCTGAGGAACTGGGTGTGAGGTTAATACAGCAGGAGATTTTTGCCTGGCATAAGCCAGGCTCTGGGTTTGATCCCCAGCACTGCAAAATAAGTGCTGAAGAAGGTTCTGGTATGACTCGTTCCTGGGGCTCAGGCTGAGGCAGGAGGGTGTCTGGGAGTTTGAGGCCAGCCTGGGCTACATAGACTGCCTCAAAAAAAAGAGTTTCTTACATTTGTTTTTTTGTTGTTGTTACTGTTTTTGAGACTGGCCTCCAACTCAAGATGGTCCTTCTGCTTCAGTTTCCCCAATGCTAGGATTATGTGTGTTGACCATGCCCAGCTTTACATTTGCTTTTTGTTTTGGCCACCAGGGTTTCAGTTACATTCCCTGGAGCAAACTGACTTAGTAATTAGATCATGGCTAACAATTGAATTCCCAGGTCCCAAGAGGTCTGAGAAAATTGTACATTAAATTCAGTATTTCAGAAAGCCTAAAAATAAATCAGGTGGGCCTGGTGGTGCACACCTGTGACCTGTGATCCCTGCATTTGGGAGGCAGAGGCAGGAGGATTGCTGCAAATTTAAGGCCAGCCTGGGCTACATAGTGGGAGACCCTGTCTCAAAAACAGAAAAATAAGATTGATTCAAAAAGGAAGAACCAGGTGTGGTAGTGCACGCCTGCAGAGTTCATGGCCAGCCCGGTCTACATACTGGTGAGTTCAAGGCCAGTTGAACTACATATAGCAAGGCCCTGTCTCAAAAATAAAGACAAACTTCACTGTCATCCATAATTTAAAAAAAAAAAAATAGAGGATTACTTTTTCAACTTGATAGACAGCTAACTGTAAACTTAATGGTGAATGATGAGCTGCTTCCCTGAGATCAGGACAAGGTAAGGAAGCCATCGTCACGACTCACTCAACATCCGTTCAGTTAGGCAAGGAAAGGAAGAAGTGAAACTTCCAGTTTGCAGCTGATAGGAAAATCTGTAGAAAGTCCCAAGAATTTATATTTTAAAAAACTGAATGAGTTGAGATCGAAGGATACACGGCAGACGTTAAGATCGTGAGCTGGGCATGGTGGCACATGCCTGTCATCACAGGGTTCTGGCAGGCTGAGGGAGAAGGAGCCCAAGGTTGAATCCAGTCTAGGCAACTTACTGATTTTGCAAGACCTTGTCAAAATAAAAACGTAAAGGCTGAGAGTGTCGCTCAGTGAGATGGTCCTCAGTGCAATTCCCAGTAGTGCCAAAATAATAAAATATGAAAATCTCTGTGAGCTGGGTGCAGTGGTTCACATCTGTATTCCCAGTTACTTGGGAGGCTGAGGCAGTGGGATCATGAGCCTAGGGGTTTGGAGCTGGCCTGGAAAACACAGACACTTATCTCAGAAAAGAAATTGCTTTTCCATAGACTAGCAAAGAATATTTGGAAATTGAATTTAAAAGCACTGATAGCTGGGCGTGGTGGTGCACACCACTTGCAATGCTAGCACTTGGGAGGCTGAGGCAGGAGGAGTGCCCTGAACTTGAGGCCAGCCTGGGCTACATAGTTCAAGGCCAACCTGACCTACAGAGTGAGACTCTGTCAACAAAACAAAACACCACAATGATACTTTTTCTTCCCCTTTTGGTGGTACTGGAGGTTGAGCCCAGGGTCTTTGCACTGAGCTCCATTCCCAGCCCTTTTTGTTTTGTTCTTTTGAGGCAGTCTCACTATGTAGTTCAGGCGGACCTTGAACTATGTAGCCCCAGCTGGCCTCGAACTCACTGCAATCCTCCTGCCTCAGCCTCCCGACTACTGGGATAACAGGAATGTGTCACCAGGCCTGGTTCCCCAGCCCTTTTTTATTTTAAGACATTCTCACTAAGCCTACCCTCAAATTTGTGATCTTCCTTCCTCAGCCTCCCAGAATGCTGGAACTGCAAGTGTGTGCCACCACACCACCACACTTGGCTGAGCTTTGTTTTTCTGTTGAGGGTGTGTGTGTGTGTGTGTGTGTGTGTGAAGAAGTGGGGGGTCTCACAGCACTCCAGGCTGGTCTTGAACTCTCAGACTCAAACAGTCCTGGGACTACAGGTGCATGCTACCGAGCCCAGCTTTGTTGTTTTGAGAATCCCTTATGTACCTGAGATAGGATATCTTTGATCTAATATCTTTGTCAGATATATAGTTTGCAAATTTTTTTCACTTTGTAACCCATGCTGGTCTCGAACAAACCTGGCAAAACCATCTCTTTAAAAAAAAAAAAAAAGGGCCAGGTGTGGTAGCCCACGCCTGTAATCCCAGCCCTTTGGAGGCTGAGGCAGGAGGATCACTGTGAGTTGGAGACCAGCCTGGGCTACAAAATGAGCTCAAGTCCAGCCTGAACTGCATAGTGAGACCCTGTCTCAAAAAGATAAAAAAACAAACAAAACAAAACAAAAAAAAGAAAAAAAGAAAAAGACCCAATAGACAAATCAGATCAAAGTCTATTCGGGCTGAAGTTGCTTGAAGGTATGACGGGTGGTTGGGTGTGTGAGGTGGTTCTGGTTTCTCCCTTTCCATCAGAAGCTCCCCTTGGTGGCAGCTGCAGCAGCGTCTGGCCCGTGGTGCGCTGTGGAGGAATGAAGCAACGGTAAAATGTGTCTTTAACAACAGCTGATATAACTGGCAACATCTTTCCAGGGGTAAAACTACCAGCTGTCCTCAGAGGAAGGAGGCTGGAGTCCAGGACTGGGTGCTTTCTCTTCCCTTTGGCCTCACTGTCCTTTGAGTTCCTCCTGTTTGTCCCCAGAAAGAACTTTCCAGGTTCTCTGGAAACAGGGAGGATATGAAGCCTAGATCTCTTTTTGGGGATTGCCAGTGGCTCATCAGAACTGGTGGGGCGCTTGGTACATGATTTGTTTTGGTTTTTGTTTGTTTTCTTTTTGAGACAGGGTCTTGCTATGCAGTTCATTCAAGCTGGCCTTGAGCTCACTTTGTAGCCCAGGCTGGTCTCGAACTCTCAACAATCCTCCTGCCTCAGCCTCCTGAGTGCTGGAATTACAGGCATGCACCACCACGCCCAGCCTCTTGACACATGATTTGTGCAACATCAAATCATTCAACAAAACTGGCTGAGTGGGGCCGTGGATGTAGCTCAGCTGCACAGCGCCTTGCTTGGCAAGCACAAAGTCCTGAGTTCACTTCCTGGTACAAACAAAACAAAACAAAACAAAACCGGCTGAGCGCACCTGGCTCAAACCAACACATGCCCTGTTTTAGAGACTGAATGCACCCCAGAGAACGAGGAGGTTCCTGCCTGCAGAAACCAGCCTTCCAGGAGAGGGAGGTGATATATTGTGCAAGTAAACAACTATTTCAATGTATGACAAGGGCCATGAAGGATAAGTCAAAGAGCCAAGGGCAGGGTGCCCTCGGCACCTCTGAGGAGTCAGCACAAATCCCTGGTCTTGGTGCTGTGTGTCCCCAGATAAAGACTTTGATCTGAGAAATACCTTTGGAACAAGACACTCACTGCTGCTTAGTACCCATCATGGCAGGTCTGTGGGACGAGTGTTGGAGTCCAGTTCAGCTACTTGTTAGCTATATCTGCCTAGCATAAATACATTTATTTCAGTATAAACTTTTTTTTTTTCAGCACTGGAGGTTGAACCCAGGACCTCACACATGCTAGGAAAGCACTGTGCTATTATAGACCGTGAGTTAGGTAGAACTATTATTATGCAGGCTGTGCACACTGATGCACTCCTATAATCCCAC